TTTTTTTTTTGTAAATGTAGATGCGTACCATATTTGCCTAATGAGAAGGTCTAGTTTTGTGCAAGAATAATTTTTTAATGTCTGCCCCAAGGCGATGTAAACTATTTTCCGTTGGTTTATGCTCGAATGAATTTTCTTTGGGAAAAGAGAAGATAATAATTGTTTTTGAATCTTCTGCGAGGTTGATTCTACGACTACAATTAATCATCAATATATATATGTTACTAAACTTCTATATTCTATAACTCAATTATATATCGAACTTAAAAAATTATTTTCTATATGTATGACTTTATAATTCAATTTAGGATGATAAAGAAGCACAGAGTATTTGTGAACGTATAACACCACGTCTTGCTCATGCAAATGCTGCTGTTGTTCTATCAGCTGTTAAAGTAATAATCGAATTATTGATTATTTTATAATCATTAATGCATATATATAGGTTCTAATGAAATTTCTCGAATTAATTGATCAACATAGTGAATTTGTTCAAAATTTACATCGTAAATTAGCTCCACCATTAGTTACACTTTTATCGGCTGAACCTGAAATTCAATATGTTGCATTACGTAATATAAATTTAATCGTACAAAAACGGTAAGTTGTTTTTTTCAGGCAAAAAAACATGTTTTTTTGTTTCTCAAATACTTCTAGTCCGGATATATTAAAAAATGAAATGAAAGTTTTTTTTGTTAAATATAATGATCCAATATATGTTAAACTTGAAAAACTTGATATTATGATACGTTTAACAAATGCAACAAATATTGCACAAGTCTTAGCTGAATTAAAAGAGTATGTGAAATATATCTTTTTATGCTAATTAATTTAGATAAAAATTATTATTTAGATATGCTACTGAAGTCGATGTAGATTTTGTTCGTAAATCAGTTCGAGCTATTGGTCGTTGCGCAATTAAAGTTGAACAAGCAGCTGAAAGATGTGTTAGTACATTAATTGATTTAATTCAAACAAAAGTTAATTATGTTGTACAAGAAGCTATTGTTGTTATTAAAGTAAAGAAAAAAGAATTTTATGTGACACAAAACAAAATAAAATATCTTTTTTTTCTAGGATATTTTTCGTAAATATCCAAATAAATATGAAAGTATCATTGCAACATTATGTGAAAATTTAGATTCACTTGATGAACCTGAAGCACGGTAAAGTCAATGATTTATTTGTTTTATTTTAATAAATGAATTTATTTTAGTGCTTCAATGATTTGGATTATTGGTGAATATGCTGAACGTATTGATAATGCTGATGAATTACTTGAAGGTTTTCTTGATGGTTTTAAAGATGAAAATAGTCAAGTACAATTACAATTATTAACAGCAATTGTTAAATTATTTCTTAAAAAACCAACTGAAACTCCACAAGAATTAGTTACACGAGTTTTAACACTTGTTACACAAGAAACAGATAATCCGGATTTACGTGATCGTGGTTATATTTATTGGCGTCTTTTATCAACTGATCCAAAAGCAGCGAAAGAAGTTGTTCTAGCTGAAAAACCACTGATTTCGGAAGAAACTGATTTACTTGAACCAACATTACTTGATGAACTTATTTG